CCTATAGGATTTTCGGCAAGATGGTTTGCCAACGCTTGTCCTTTTACGTCCTTCTGAGTTACATAGATGATATCGAACTCACTCAGCAATATTTGCCACTTGGCCAACTTCCCGATAGGCATAGGCTTCTGAAAGATGAAGAGGATCCATCCTTGATATGAGGCATGTGGTATAGGCACAGAAGTAATGCCTCAATTTTCTGAGCTGTAAACGTCAAAGCATATCAAGTGCGTTCTAGCAAAAAGTACCGAGCTTCATAAGGTGTGAAATTCTTACTCAAGTAATATATGGCTTTCTCCTTTCTTACCGTCTTGTCATGTTGTCCCAAAACATAACCGAAAGCCCCATCTAGTACTGACAAATAGAGTAGCAAAGGTCTCTCAGGTTCCGGCGGGACTAGGACTGGTGGTGTAGACATTTATTCCTTAATTTTGTCAAAAGCCTTCTGTAAATCCTCGGTCCAACTGGTTGCAGCATCCCTCTTCAACATTTTGATGATTGGTTCACATATTACTGTGGACTGTACTATGAAGCAACTGATGTAATTGAGGCATCCCAGGAAACTCATCACGTCCTTATTATTCTTCGGTGGGGGTAATTCTTGGATAGATTTAACCTTTGATGGTTCCAACTCGATTCCTCAGCGACTGACGATGAATCCCATCAATTTTTTGGCAGGAACCCTGTTTACCGCAAAATGGTAACAACAATTAAATTTGTAAATGGGATCCTAAAAATACGTGATCTATTCCCAAGCTAGTTTTTAGAGCAGTTGATTCTAAGAATGTTAAGTTTAACAATGTAGCTTGGGTTAAAAAGAGGCAGTAACTAAACTGAAGGGGGGTTGTTGCCTGGGTGAATAGATGGTCGATGAGACCTCGGGGTCGGCGTTAGTATCGATTTCGAACTATCGGGGACAGTCGGGAATGGGATAATAGGTAGGGATATGATCTAGCAAGGCTCTATGTCGCCAATATTGAGCAAAGTAGTGAAGAACAAATAAGAGAATGATAAATGCGAAAGCGTTCTCGGGCAAGTGAGAGCGAACAACTTAGAAGAAAAGGGAAAGAGAGATATTATTGCACTTGTGGAGAGAATGGAGCAACATTAGTCCTTTAAAAGGTAGGGCAAGTCCCCTTTATATGGGAGGGGAGTCTCGGCTACAAGCAAGTGGAGATTAATTACAAATTACGGCGATGGAATGGCTTGACGTGATGCCTCAGCATAGGCTCCGGATAGGCCAGGCCTGTCAGATGTAGCCATGTGCCTAGGGGGCTTCCCCTTCTGTCCTGACTTTGTCCTTCATTTCCTTCGAGTTGGGCTTCAATGAGCCCCGAGGCCGAGAACTCGGTCACGGCCTTCCGCCCTCGAGGTCCCGGGGCATGCTTCCGAAATGTATTGATAGCAAGAAATCAAGTCTTATGATTTCACCACGTACAGATAGTCTCCAGGTTTCCCATAACGAAGTGATGGGAAATGATTCTGACACTTGACTGCTCGAGCTTCTTTTGGCATGCCATATCGATGATACGACCCTTGGCGTAAGCTTCGCGTGATTGGACATCCAAGGGCTTGTGCTTTTCGACCTAATTCATTGCACTCCCTGATTCTTGCTTCCCAAGGTGCAGGTACTGCCATCAGTTCGATTTTCCATGGACGCATTAACTGTGCATGTCGGCCAGTCTTCCAAAGCCTAGATGACCGTGTTGTAATCCCCTATAAATGGGGGTCTGTTGTCGCTGTGGTCATCGGTATGCTAGCCCTTGCTACTGCTGCTGGCCCGAGGTGATAAGGGACAGGGAGTCGATTCCTCCCTTATGTAGATAGTCATTCGGATTATGCACCGCTGCTCACTCTCTTACCCAGGCTTGGTGTGGCACTTCATCCCTAGGGTTTTTTCTTTCCCAAGAGATAAAGTGGCGCTACCGGCCGTTGAGGCTGGGGCCCGCCGAATCTTTAACGTTTGACTTCAGCGATCCATATCTTTTTTCTTTGCCTCCTAAGCGTCCCTTCCTTTTCCTCTTCTTCCTATTCTTCGGCGAGGATCCCTCGGGGGATTGAGCTAGGAACTTATGGGAGGTCAAGGTCAAAGGAATCACCCTTGAGGATACGTGCTCGAGGGTACGGTGCCCGAGGATACTGATACTGGAGATGGACTCTCGAGGGAGGACTGAGCGTTCAGGTTTCATCACATGTACATCCTTCTGTTCCTCCACTTTAGGTATAGACTCTTGTAGGCTTTTGTAATTGTATGCAACGACCCCTCGAAGGCTGCTTTTTTGCAAATTTTTATGAATAAGAATATACTTTTGTCACGTACCAAAAATCGAGGGGCGCGACCGGCGCTCGACCGGGTAGCACCCAGCCAAGCGGACCTGGGTGCCTTTCCTATTCCACGTAATACCCTGCGTTTCCATTACCCATTAACCAAGTGAAATAGCTATTTATAAATTTAAACACATTCTTATGAGATTTACATAACATACATAGTTACTTAGTGTGGTTTACAAGTTATACTGCCCAAAATACATAAGTACATAACCCACGTTTCCTATCTACGCAGCCTCTAAATACAACTGAAGAATAATACAGAATGCCCGCAACAAGGCTCCGGCTATACCTTACACAAATACCAAAATAAGACTCCGGGAAGAAAAGCGGCATGAGCCACGCAGGGCCCCGAGAGGAAAAGGGCTCACCAATTCAGCTGACAGGAGGTGAATGAGTGCTACTGTCGGTGGGCTGGAGTACCTGTTATGGAACCACCTACAATCATAACACGAATGTAGCGCCCCCGAAAAAAGGGACGTCAGTACATTTGAATTGTACTGGTATGTATAGACAAACTTTACCCCAAGTAAAATCAAGAAATACACATATAACAAACAGTAATACAATCAACAATCAAATGCACATGAAAGGAACAACCAAAGCCAAACAACTCCACAATCTCTCCTTTTCCCCTTTCAACATTATTTCATCACATCAATGGTTTCACAACTTTCACATATTTTTTATTTCAATAGTGATTTCGATCACTTTTACACCTTTATTACCTCGGCCACCCTTATCACCACAACCCACACCTTATTCTTTCGTGTTGCGGCGCGCAACCCGATCCCACCGGACAATCCTATTTCGCACAACAACAACAACAATTCACAAAGAGTGTTCATAAACATCAATACCAATTCCAACATATACAATAACCCGTACACAATTCAAGTCAAAACGATAATTGCCCACAACAAGTCACGTATGATATTGCCACAGTTGTTTCAATTGTATCAATTACGATTTCTTTCCATCGTTTGTTCCACAACTCTTACCACGTAACATATTCATACCCACACGCACTTGTGTTATTGCTATTTTACTCACACCACTATAATGGAAAACTTAACCAACAACGTTCAAGGCACATTAATCACAAGAATTTCACAAATAGTCCACATAAGTAACATATACCAATTACTCGTACACCAACAAGGTGACTTTACAAAGGTTAAAGTTAGCCATACATACCTGGAGTCGAATTCCCTTTTTAACTTCTACTTTCAATTCACCAACAGCCTAGTACCGTCAATCTTGTTCACAAGTTAACACATATAACTTAGAATTGAAGTTCACAAACTCAGCCCGAACTTACTTAGGTTTCCAACCCCTCTTTTGCAAATCTTTAGTTCTACCCAGTTCCTCTTACTAGATTCTAGGTTTTAAAGGACATGCATATGTATCTCAACTTACATTTTCAAGAATTAACGCTTGACAATCCCCCTTTTTGTTTAAATCTGGAAACAATGAAAAAGGGTTGGGGATTTTACCTTCAAGAACAGAGATGAAGACAATTACTTGAAATTCCCCGGCCCGAGTGACTTTGAAGAATCAAATTGATGAAGGCAGGACTTTATCTCTCAAGAATTATCTCTTCCCTCTCTCTAGTTTTGTTCAGTAAATATATTAAAATAAGGGGTTGGGGTGTTTTATTGAAGAAGGGGTCGGGTTTAAAATTTAGAAAATTAGATCCCCGAGTCAGGTCTGCGATCGCATTTGCGATCACATAGTGGAAATGCGGTCCGCAGAATGGACCGCAAAAGTGATCCCAACGTCTGAACACAGTGCCTGGGTATGCGGCAGAAATGTGGTCCGCATACCCATTCTGCGGTCGCATAATGCACCGCAGAACTGCCCTTCACAAAATCCCAAGGGAAATATGCGACGACTATGCGGTCCGCATATTGGTTATGCGATCGCATGTCAGATCGCATATTTAACCTCAAATTCGACCAACAAACTGACTCACTTTGCAGCGATTATGCGGTTCGCATACCTGATATGCGACCGCATTCTCGACCGCAGAATCACATTTTTTGGAAAACAGTATTTCTTGAATTTTTATAGCATAGATCAGTACAAAAAAGGTCCGAACTACCAGGTTTTGAGTACTTGTTTTTTACGGGGCCTTACATCCTCCCCCACTTAAAATCATTCGTCCTCGAATGAGGATTTTGGAAATCGGTTGGTTTTGAAAACATGATATGCAAACTCCCAATATTTGAATTTTTTTTTGCCAGAGTTCCCTTTGAAATTAGACTTATCTACCTATTAGAGAGCCCCCAAAACATTATTTCCAAGCACCATTACGTTATTCTTATTATGCCTACAACTGGTATACAATTCATTACCTCAACACCTGCACATAATTTGGCCACTTCAATGAGTTCCATACAGTCCAACCACTTCAATACACTATATGCATTTCAACTAATCATTGCCAATCTACACTACCTTTAATCATTCACTTATCACATGAGTTCTTACAAAACTTTCATTTACCAAAAAGGGGCTTGCGCATGACTCAATTAATCACAACACATACAATTCTTGCACAACTTGAGGAGTTACAATAGTAAAGCATTTAGGGAAATATATGGGGTGTCTTTGCACAAGATTGAACACAACATCAATTTACTTAGAGACAAGAGTTCGCACGATCACTACTAGACTTGTTCAAACATATGGGGATATTTTTCTTTCATTTCACTTTCCGCTTCCCACGTGGCTTCCTCGACTTGTTGACTTTGCCATAGCACTTTAACTGAAGCAACTTCCTTGTTTCTCAATTTGCAGACTTGCCTATCAAGAATAGCGACCAGAATTTCTTCATATGATAACTCTTCATTGACCTCGATAGCCTCGATTGGCACGATGGTGGATGGGTCTCCAACCACTTTCTTTAACATAGACACATGGAACACCGGGTGCACTAATGACATTTCAGGGGGCAATTCCAGTCTATAGGCCACCTGTCCTATCCTTTGAGTGACCCGATACGGCCCGACATATCTAGGACTCAACTTCCCTTTCTTCCCAAATTGCATGACTCCCTTCATAGGAGATACACTCAAGAACACCCAATCATCTACTTGGAATTCCAATTTTCTTCGACGAATGTCCACATAAGATTTTTGGCGACTCTGAACAGCTTTCAGCCTTTCCTGAATGATTTTAACTTCTTTCATAGCCTGGTGCACGAGATCTAGCCCTAACAATTCTGCTTCACCCACTTCAAACCATCCAATCGGACACCTACATCTCCTCCCGTACAATGCCTCAAATGCGGCCATCTGAATGCTAACATGAAAGTTGTTATTGTAAGCAAATTCTATAAGTGGCAAGTGATCATCCCAATTACCTTTGAAATCCATGACACAAGCCCGTAACATATCTTCAAGCGTCTGAATAGTTCGCTCCGCTTGACCATCAGTCTGCGGATGGAAAGCCGTGCTGAGATTCACCTGAGTACCCAAACCTTGCTGAAATTTCTTCCAAAAATTAGCTGTGAACTAGGCCCCTCGATCTGAGATAATAGAAAGTGGAGTGCCATGAAGCCTTACTATTTCCTTGATATATAGTTGAGCGTATTGTTCTGAAGTATCCGTGGACATGACTAGCAAGAAGTGAGCTGATTTGGTGAGCCGATCCACTATTACCCAAATTGAGTCGAACTTGCGCTGAGTGCGAGGTAGCCCTACCACGAAATCCATGTTGATCATCTCCCATTTCCTCATTGGTATTTCCATAAGCTGAGTTAACCCATCGGGCCGCTGGTGCTCAGCTTTTACTTGCTGACAATTCGGACATTTAGATACAAAGTCCGCCACACCCCTTTTCATACCATTCCACCAATAAATTTCCTTGAGGTCACGGTACATTTTCGTAAACCTAGGTGCACAGAATACCTAGAATTATGAGCCTCTGCCATTACCCTTCCTCAAAGATTATCCACATCTGGAACACATAGCCTACCTTGACATCGTAATACGCCATCCTCACCACCGAGTGAAAATGTCGAAGTCTTGTTATTCAAAACGTCCTCCTTCATCTTTGCTAATGCTGGATCAATGAGCTGCTTTTTCTTGACTTCCGCTACCAGTGACGATTCTGCTCCATTACGCACCATAACCTTCCCCTCGTCTGAGGTCGAAATACGAACCCCCAGACAGGCCAATTGATAAACCTCCCGAGCCAAAGGCCTCTGATCCGCTCCCAAATGAGCCAAACTACCCATAGACTTCCGACTGAGAGCGTCGGCCACCATATTCGCCTTCCCTGGATGCTATAAAATATCCATACCATAATCCTTGATCAATTCTAACCACCGCCGCTGCCGTAAATTCAACTCCTTCTGCTTGAACAAATATTGGAGACTCTTGTGGTCCGAGAACACATCCACATGGACCCCACAAAGATAATGCCGCCATATTTTCAAGGCAAATACAACTGTCGCAAGCTCCAAATCATGCGTCAGATAATTCTTCTCGTGATTCTTGAGTTGCCTTGAAGCATACGCTATAACCTTCCCATGTTGCATCAACACACACC